CCCTGTGGCTCAAGTGGTAGAGCGCTAGCCTTGAGCTGAAGAGCTGAGGGACAGCGCCCAGGCCCAGAGTTCAGGCCCCATGACCGGACCCCCCCCCCAAAAAAAAAAAAGTTGGGCACTGTGGCTCATTCCTATAATCCTAGGTACTAAGAGATCTAAGGATCATGGTTCAAAGGCAGCCTAGATAGGAAAGTCCCTGGGCCTTTTATCTCTAGTTAACCACTGGAAAATGGAAGTGGTGCTGTGGCTCAAAGTGGTAAAGCACTAGCTTTGAGCAAAAAAGAGCTCAGGGAGTGTTCAGGCCCAGAATCCAAGCACCATGATCACTACCACACCAATAGAAACAGCTCAGGTAGAGTGCTCAGGCCCTGACAAGCTTCACAAATGACAATAACAACAACAACAACAACAATGGTGTTAGAGATTGAACCCAGGGCCTCCAGCGTGCAAGGCACATGCTCTACCTGAACTATGTGCATAGCCCTTTAATCCTAGCTTGCATTAAGTCCAATATGACTGGATTCTGCTTCCTTTCCACCCTCATCCTAGGTAAACCCTGGTTGAGAGGTCATAGCAGCCTCAGCCTTCACTCTGGTCCTTGAGTACGCCCTGTCTACTCCCATTTCAGGGCCTTTGTCCTAATCCTGCCTCTACCTTCTGCTCTTGGCTGGCTCCTTCTCACCATTCAGTCTTAGCTTTTGGGCGATTCCTCCCCAGAGTGGTCTTTCCCAACCCAACCCTGCTAACGTCTTATATATAGTTTGTTAATTTTCTATTTCCTTTACAAAGAGCTAAGAGCCATGACCTTGTTTTCTACCCAGATCACCAGTGTCTGACCAGGGCTTGGCCAGGTGTTTAGAAGGTATTTCTTGCCTGGGAATACATCATTCCCCTCCCTCTCTGAGCCTATTTCTCCAACCATATGATGGAGATTACAACATAGTAGTGACTATCTCATAAAACTGTTCAAGATTAAATGAGACAGAGTCCAGGTATTAGTGGTGGTTCATGCCTGAAATCCTAGCTACTCAGGAGGCTGAGATCTGAGGATCGTGGTTGGAAGCCAGCCCAGGCAGAAAAGTCCGTAAGACACTTTGATTAACCAGCAAAAAGCCAGAAATGGAGCTGTGGCTCAAAATAGTACCCTCCCTTAAGCAAAAAACAACAACTATTAATGTACACTGCCAAGGCCCTCAGTTCTAGCCCCAGCATGGGCACAAACATAAATAAATGCAATGAGATAGGTGTCTAGGGTGGAGCTCAGTTTGTAGATCTGCACAGGTGAAGCCTTCCATTGGCTTCTCAGCACTACAAAAAATTAAATAAGGTCCGTGTGGGGCACAGGCATAATCCTGGCACTTGTCATCAATACCATAATGGAATGCCCTGGCAGGAAGGAATGGGTAGGGCCAGAGGGATTCCCGCACGCTCTCCAGCAGCTGGGCTAATTGGCCCAGACCCACTTTCCGTGGCTGTCCAAGTCCTCTCCACCTGGTAGCAGAGAGCAAGCAAATTCAAGAGCGTTTGTACAAGTAGAGACGAGTGTGCTTCGACTCGGCTGTAAGTTTATTAGAAAGGCCATGGACAGATGAACCCTGAGTTTCCAGCTGAGGAAGAAATGCAAACAGCCTCTGCCCCTGGTGACCTGTCCCCCTGGTGTGTGAACTGTTGGGTGGCGGACACGACCCAAGTCCGCCAGAAAGTGCTGTGGGTGTCCACCTCCCTGGGCCGCCTGCAGGGGCCCACTGGTGGGCGACGTGAATGCTGGTGCTTGGAGCGGGGAGCCGGAAGGAGCAGGGTCCTCTGCTCTAGCAGAAAGTGGTTCTAGACCCTCAGTGGAACAGAACGGAAAAGGAGCTGGCTGGGGAACAGAGTTGAGGCCTGCTAAACAGCCCATGGCCCTGCAAGGCGACGCTGCGCTGACTGGAGAGGTGTGTGCCGATGGCTCCTGAGGCCCGACTGTGGGGGCTCCCAGAGCAGGGCCTCAAAGCTGCTAGAAGGAGTCTTAGCCACAGAGAGCCCCAGGGTGACTCAGTGTCCCTCCTGGGGTTGCACTGGCTATTTGTGCTCCCAGAAAGGCAAATGGATCTTGTAATAATCCATTAGTGGTTGATGCCATTTTTTTTTCCCTTAAAAAAAAAAAAAAAAGGATTTTGTACAGTGACTGTCATCCCACAGCGCCTGAGCCAGGAAGAGTCCGTCTTGGGGAAGGAGAAGGCACTTCACACCCTCACTGGGGTGATCTGGGCTGGCTGCTTCCCGGGGCCCCTCGGGGCTCCTGCTCACTTTGGCCCTGGGACTCAGGCTTGCCCCTTCTGGGAAAGACGCTGCCTCCATGGAGTTAGCACTGCCCTGCGGCTCACAGGGTGGTAGATGGCAGCTTCCTCACCCGCCGCTGGGCCAGGATCGATGACTCGATGGGCTTTAGCTGGGGGGTGGGCTTGGAGCTGTTAAGTGCAGAGTATGTGGCGGCCATGGCTCCCTGAGAGAGAAGACAGAGGTCTGAGCACAACCATGTAGAGGGTAGAGGGGTCCCACCGCATGCCCAGCCCTGTGTGCAACCTCACACAACCTTCAGTTCCTGCTTCTGCCTCCCCCATTAGACTGGAGTCTCCAGAGGTGAGCAGCTGTGTCTCCCAAGGGACTCAGGGAGCCCCGTGATGCTGCCATCCGTTCCTCTGGGGCTCCCTGAGGCCAGGACTATGGTTTCTGTCCTTTTGTTGTTGTTGTTGGCCGTGGGGCTTGAACTCTGGGCCTGGGCGCTGTCCCTGCACTCTTCAGCTCAAGACAAGCGCTCTACCTCTTGAGCCACAGCACCACTTCCAGTTTTCTGAGTGGTTTATTGGAGTTAAGAGTCTCATGGACTTTCCTGCCCGGGCTGGCTTTGAACCACGATCCTCAGATCTCAGCCTCTTGAGTAGCTAGGATGACAGGCGTGAGCCCCCGGCGCCCGGCTGGTTTCTGTCCTGTTCGTACCTCCTGGGTCCTGTTCCAGTCATAGCATCCTCTGCTCTGCCACCCCAAGTCCCGCCCACACTGTCTGAGCTTGCCCCTCCCACCTTCCTGGGCCCACCTTCACCAGCTGCAGGTCTTGATGGGACAGCTGGCTCTGGGGAAGCTTTTCTTTCTGGGTGATCCACGGGTGCTGCAGGACCTGCTTGGCTGTGAGGCGCTGGGGAGGGTCTACGTGGAGCATCTTAGACACCAAGTCCTGGAGGCATAGTGGGCAAGGGAGTGAGGGGAAGGGCAGCACGGTAGCCGTGGGACACAGTAATCCATGTCCGACTCAGCCAAGGCCACCCCAGACCCAACCCAGGCATGGCCCAATGCGGGCCTTGGGTGCTCCAGGCACTTCTGGCTGCCCTTCCTGTTTCTCCTTCAGAAAGCCATGTGGGAAAATGGTGGGCAAGGCCTCAGGGTTGGGAGTCAGGCAGACTTAGGTTCAAACCTGAGTCCATTCATCAACAGCAGTGACTTTCAATTCTCTGAGCTTTGTTTCCTCTCTGAGAAACGGAGCTAACAGCACCTGCCTCATGGGTTCCAGGTCTGGCTTAGAGGCTCCCAGGAACCGGAAGCTGTTGCCAATATAAAAAAACTCCTTCCAGAAGGGCTGTGCAGGTATGAGCAGGTGCTCTGGGGGCCCCTGTGCACAGGCCTGTATCTCCCACCACACTGTCTCCACAGAGTAGGAGACTGTCTCCCACAAAGCCGGTGAAATGATCGCCGAGCTACCCAGACAAATGAGAGGGATTTGTAGAGAGGCATTTGTGGAATATTCCACTGGCCAGAAATGTTTGGGAAATGTAGAGACCTGGGCCCGCTCCTGCAGGACTCACCTTGGCTGTTTCTGAAACTGTGTTCCAATTCCCCCCACTGAGAGTGAACTTCCCACTGCCGATTCGGGTCAGGATCTCCTCCGGTGTATCGCTGGGCCCATTGGCAAATGGAGTGTATCTGGAGAAACAAACAAAAAAACCCATACCATCGATATAGTCTTGGCCTCCATCATGAGCCAAGGAGCGGTGGTACAGGGCCACGTCCTAGGGCGGGGCTGAGTCTCTGCCATCGGGCAAGCACCAGCGCCCTCCTCACTTCTGCTTTTACCTCCTTGAACGCAAGCCTGCTAAGGTGATCACTAGGGCCGGAGGAAGGGACAGCAGCGGCCGGGGCTGGGAACTCACCCGGCCAGCATGGTATACAGTAGGATGCCCAGGCTCCAGATGTCACAGCCTTCATCGTAGCCCTGGCGTTTCAGCACCTGACAGGAAAGCGGGGGGG